TAACCCAAGATTATTGCCTAACATATCTGCAATAGCCGAAGTTCCACTAGACTGAGATGATTCAGAAAACCTTCGTTCAGATATTACTGGATCAACAATTTTGTCGCAATCAGGAATAGGGCATTTGTTCTCTTCCATAAGTAAAAAATTTTTTTCAATACATTTCCTATGATATGCATGACCGCATGAAAGTATTGTAAATGATTCAAAGTTAACTGTTAAAATTTTTTTTATTACATATTTTACATGGTGGCAATTCTGTAACTTCGATATTTTGTACTACATCATGTTTTATTTCTTTTAAAATATTAAGAGCGAAGTTTTGGAGATTAACAAGGGACATGATGATATCAGTGAAGCAAGTACAGATAAGTTTCTTACAACAAACTTTTATTATACTTAGCTTATTTTATAGTGTATCCTCCACAACTAAAAAAATTAGATACTAATTTCGGATTTGGCGATTTGTTCATCGAATTTGGACACATTTAACAATAGTACTTTAAAGAAAATCCGATGATTACCAGTTAGGGTTTTATATCAAATTAATATGCAGTAATAAAGTTGAAGTTATCACTGAGAAATATACTATTTATTGCTAAGATCATACAAGATCTAAAAGATCGCACATGTTTTTTTTGTAACTATATCATTTTAAACCCCAATTCATACCCCATACAAATCTACTAATGATCTGTAATAGAATTTTATTATGTAGAATGGATGGTGCTATAGTACCTGTTACATTTCGTGGGATCAGATCTGTAAATCGCTAGCGTAATTTCCATTCTCGTCCCATTCTAACATCAGAGACATCAGATTGACTTGCGTAATGCTAATTTAAATATTCGTAATACGCGTACTATGCAAGAACGTTCCAAAAATTAGTTGGCAGATTAATTATTCATTGCAAAAATACCTGCTACATAACACAGGACACAGTTAAATCACATGACCTTATCTGCGGGACAAGAGAAGCTAAATAATACCTTTTTTTGAGCTTGCGAGAAAAAAGATTTGGCTTACTGATATATCCGGATTACTGATATATCTGGCTTCAAGTGATTTAATTACAAGAAGGCAGGATTTTTATTTCACTTTGACACCGCTAATTTATAAGAAAAAAAAATATTAATATAAAAATATATCTCTCAATTGTGATCTTAAGAATAGCATTAGGAAAACGGTAGACAACTAGCGATCACTACTTCGAACTGCTAATAGCTTTCTTTATCTTAACCTTTTTTGGTCGTACCTTCCTTCGTTGCTTATAAGGAACAGCCTTTTGTTCTCTTACCTCAATTATCTCAACAGAATTCAGATAAATCAGATGAATCAGATAGATAGAAGGAACTCTTACCTTTTTTATTAATATGTGTGAGAACTATTTCATATATTAAGTCAACCACAGTGCTCTTGTTCACACAATCATCTAAATCTTCTAATTCAGTCTCTAGGAATGCCACATCTCTCTCCAATTTTTTTACTGTCTTTTCTAGTCCAAATATCCAAGCTACTAACTTTCTATATCTGATAACTTCCTGCTTGCCAGGTGCATCGCGCTTGTTGTTGGATGAATGCTTTTCAGTTATTTCTATTCTGGTCATTTTTGTATTATTTTATATATGATATATATTCTCTCGAGCGAAAAAATAAAATTAATAATTGATACCTAACCCTCTATGTGAACAGTTTTCATCGAAGAGCTTGAATGCCTCTGCTTGATTATATGGTTTACCTCTTCTCTGTATATTGACTATAGTATATCTTTTAGATGGAGAAGTGTGGTTGTCGGGACTATGCCTTAATGCCTTACTGGTATAAGTATTAGCCTTTGATGCATTTTTAGGCCCATACGCTACAGAAGCAAATACTGCCCCTAATTTGCGTAAAGAGCTAGGAAGTAATGGTTCACCACTTTCAGGAATAAATTTGTCTTTTTTCAGAAATGTACTTAAGTACGTAGATCCAAGTTTTCCTGGGTCCTTTAACTGTCCAGAACAAATATTATCCTGAATCCAGGTAAAGAGTTGCTTAGCCCGCTCCTTATTCTTTTCTAGTGATCTAAACATCCGAGAAATATCCTGTTGACCTCAGTTTTTTGCATATTCAGTTACAGCCCCATTAGATATACGCAAGTTTTTAATTTTAGCAGGATGAATGCAGAGATTATCATTATATCAGCTAGAGCCTGTTTGTTAGATATATTAGATACATCGTACTCATCCAATCTTTTCTTGACCGATTCTAACGAGAAGTGGTCTGGAAAATCTATTCCTTTATTTTCGCGTTGCTCACTATGCTCCTTTTGAACTTTATTGGATAACCTAGTTACCTCTGGATTCAATGTAGCAGAAATTATTTTTTCTGAAGTGTTGAGGGGCCGTAATTCTCTTCGAAGTCTAGAGAGGCAGGATAAGGCAACAACGGCATCAGAAGATGTTTTGACTAAGGTTCTAGATATTGTCTTTACATCTTTTTCACCAAGTTTATCTTTCATAATATGCTGAGCCGTTTGTTTGATAGTCTCCCCTTCTAGAGTGGTATCAGATGCTAAGCATATATTCACATTCCCTCCTTCTTTAGAAGTTACTTGGCTTTTACTCCACCCAATTCTCTCGTGAGGAATCAATACAAATGCTTGTTCTTTGCTAAATTCATACCCTTTTTGAAAGCGATTATGGGCCTTGCGTCTTTTCTCTTTATCTACTAGTAGTGTGCCAGTTGTTAAGAGCTCAAGTATTTCCGGCACATATTGGCTAAGCTCTTCGAGACTCATCTCATTGGTGAGTTTGTGGTCTGTGACGAACTTAGTTGTAATAGCAGACATGATGTAGTGAGTAGAATATAGAGTGAGTATTAGATTAATCTGTAGTTTTCAGATTATATATTCTAGAAAAAAAGTTCGATTCGAAAAATTTTTTCAGAGCTATACTTCTTCGAAAAGGGGAATATTAGAGACGGTTCTTGTCTAGGTTAAGAAAGCGAAAAATATTATAACTTAAATAGATAGCCCCTTTGAGACCCCACCTGCTCTGGCTGGAAATACCTAGATTTTACAGAATTTGAAATCTGCAGGTCTAAGACCTATTTTGTGATCACATTTTAATAAAGTGCTCGTGCTAGAGCTAATATATATTTTGGTCCTAAAACATTTGCCTTAGTGAATGCATCATATAAAGCACCCGGTCTATATTTCGAAGGAGCTAAATTCGGGTGATGGAGGAATTTTATAAGTACATTACTTCTCTATTCCTGTGTTTTTTTACTATTCCAGTCGATTTTTAATAACTCGTTTGTAGCACTATCATTATATACTTTGAGTAAAATTTCTAA